TGGGGGGAACGTGGGATACCTCCCCTATGTAAAGGGATTGGGCCCATTTCTTTCTCTGAGTGGCGGAGTCCCCCCCAGTGTTCCCACCTACGATGAGGTGGATGTGATTCTTCTTCGGGGGAGGCTCTTCGAAGTCCTCGTCGTCGCTGAGCCTACCAATCTCCCGCTTCTTCGCAGAGGGTTCGCCCCCATGTTTGCCGGTGTTTACCCAAGTGTTCTTGCGTGGGCCACCTTTGACAAACTGGGAGAGTTCCCCCTGGCGAATAAGGCGCTCGATGGCCTTCTTCAGTGTGATGCAATCGTCGGTGTTGTGCGTCGAGTTCTTGTGGAACCGGCAGTACGTGCCGCCCTGCTGGATGGCGAGGATCTCCTCGGCCGGCCGAGGAGCCTGCTCGATGAGGCCGTGCTTCTCGGCATAATCGAGGATGGTGCCGACCGGGTGGGTGAGGGTTACCCCCGGCCGTTCCAACCTCGGCCGCCAGTGGCGGTCTTTCTTACTCTGTCCACCAGAGCCGTGACGGCCCTGGGCACCCTGGCCGGCCGGGGACGGGCCCGGGGCCGGCGAAGGATTTGTCTTCTTGGAGGGATGGCCCCCCTCTTTCTTGTGATTATGGAGCTCGTCGGCGTCGGCGTACAAGCCGCCGCGCTGGAGCGCCTTGGCGTACGACCTCGGGGGGTCGGTGATAAGGCTCCTAGCGTACGGGGAGCTGCGGAGGGCTCCCTGGTACAAGGCGAGGAGGGTGCGCTCATCGGCCCCCTCGACCTCCTCGGTCTCCCTCGTCCACCGATCGATGAATGACCGGAGGGACTCCTCGTGCTGCTGCTTGACGGAAAGGAGGTGGGTGAAGTACTTCTTCGCGCGCTTCCTCCCGGCAAAGTGAGTGAGGAAGCGCTGGGCGAGATCCTGCCATGAGTCGATGCTCCCTTCGGGGAGCCCGTTGAACCACTCGTACGCTGGGCCCTCGAGAGTAGAGAGGAACCAACGACAGAGGTATTCGTCGGACGCGTTCACCATCAGCATGTTGTTATGGTAACGGGTGAAGTGCTCCTGAGGGTCTGATCGGCCATCGTAGGACTTGATGGCGTTCCCCCTGTATTTCTCCGGGATGGGGGCCGAGAGGACCCTGTTAGTGAAAGGGGTCCTGGTCCTGACCTGGATGATGGGGTCACCTCGCCCTTCGGCCATCTCCCTCTCCAGGGCGCTAACTTTGTTCATTAGCGTGTTGAGGCCGGGGTCGTTGGAGGCTCCGGCCGTAGGGATGTTGGCCGACTGCTTAGCCTCCATCTGAGCCAGCCTCCTTTCCAGCTGGGCGATGACCTCGTCCCGGGGGTCCCTGTCGGCCGCGGTGGCGCCCGGCTGGTTCCTCAGGCGCTCGTTGTGAGCCGCGTTGATCTGGTGACGCACGTCATCCTCGTGCAACTTTCCCTTGCCCTTGTCCGGGCGGGGCTGGTCCGCTGTCCGGGACACAGACCCCAAGCTTTTCCTTGGCGAGCCAGGACGAGGATCACCAATCCGTCCCGCCATCCTCTCCGAAACCGGACGACGGCGCGTGTCACCTAGCCTATTGAAGGCAGAGGCTTTTCCACGCGCTGGGGTCTGCCCGGGCCGAAGAGGGGAAGCAGGGTGGGAGTGGGACGACGCCGTGTCCTGGGCCATAACCCCCTCATTGTTGCCTATCTGGACGGCCAACGGTTGGGGATGAGGAGGTGGAGTGACGTTTCCCCCGGTCCTTGGCAAGAGTGCGCTGAGGACGGTGCGGTTCTGAGCCAGGCTGGCGATGATGACCGATAGCGCGGCCAGGACCTGCGGATCCACGGACGGAGAGGCCGCGGCCATAGGCTGGGCCGGGGCGTGGTCCGTCTTCTCAGCTCGTTTCTTGTCCAGGCCGAGGCGGGCATCAGGGACTCCGCCGTTGAGTTGGTTGCGGAGGTCCGTCGTGAGGTTGAAGGCCTCCTGGAAGAGGTCCCCTCCGCCAACCTGGTCGGCCGTGGCGTCCTCATCGTGCTCCCTGGGCTCTTGGTCCTCAGGGATGGCATTGCTGACGAGGTTGCGGTTTGACTTAGTTCTCCCCATGATCAGTGGTTAGCTGTGCTTGGTAGCGACGAAGGGTGCTAACTTGATTGTTCTAGTTCTCAACGAGAGCACCAAATGATAGAGTATATCTAGAGAGAAGTGAGAGCTAGAGAGAGAAGTGCAGTAATATGCTTCAATAGAATGAATTTGTCACCCCTATAACTACTCCCAAGGGGAGTATTTATAGAGAAAATTAGGGTTGGGCTCCCAAGTCTTGGGCTTGGGAGGCCCATTTACAACTGGACCGCTACTGGGCCGAATACAAAGCCACTAATGGGTTGTACAAATGAGTAAGTGTAAAATCCGATTCTGGGAGGTCTTCTTGGCCGACGAGGGCGTGGCCGACGAGGGCACGGCCGACGAGGGCACGGCCGACGAGGGCACCCGGGTTCCTTGGACTCAGGACCATAATCCGAGTTGGCCCCTTTTCGGCCGACGGGGGCGTCTTGGCCGACGAGGGCGCCACTCTGTTGTCTTGTGCCTTCTGTTCTTCCGAGTATGTGGGTCCGGGGGCTCAGACCCATATACTCCATCAATAGGGTAAGGATCAAATGAGAATACCATCTTAGTAGAGAAATGAGACTGATTCTGGAGCGTTGGATTTGAGCACTGTGCATCATGTAAAACAGAAACGTGCTTATAAAAAATTGGAAAATGTGTATTTCGTCTTTGCAAAATTTTAAACGTAAATGTGCACATTAGAATTTTGCATTACTTTAACTATAAATGTGCAGTTTTGTGAAGGATAAAGTGCATCATTTTGGAGTGTTCTCATTTCTCACGTTAAGGAGTGTTCTCACCGGAACCGCACCCTATATATATATAGGGTAAGGATCAAATGAGAATACCATCTTAGGAGAGAAATGAGAATGATTTTGGAGCGTTGGATTTGAGCATTGTGCATCATGTAAAACAGAAACGTGCATATAAAAAAATGGAAAATGTGTATTTCGTCTGTGCAAAATTTTAAATGTATATGTGCACATTAGAATTTTGCATTACTTTAACTATAAATGTGCAGTTTTGTGAATGATAAAGTGCATCGTTTTGAAGCGTTCTCATTTCTCACGTTAAGGAGTGTTCTCACCGGAACCGCTATATATGGTGCGGTTCCGGTAAGAACGGACTCACAGGAGAGAAATGAGAATGAATCTGGACCGTTGGATTGTATTATGTGAAACTGAATTGTGCATTTGATAAAACTTAAATGTGCATCAGATGATATTGAAATGTGCAGAATAAAAATTTAAACTCAAGTGTGCATCAGGTGAAACTGAAATGTGCGGAATAAAAGGTACAAAAATAACATCACATTGTACATTTTATTTTGCGCATTTCAGTTGCACCTAGTGCACACTTCAACTTTACATAATGCCACTATATCGTTCCCTTTGTGCTGCATATTTCAATTTCACCTAATCCACATTATAATTTTATCCAATACACACTGAATTTCACTTAACGCAAATCTAACTGATTTTGGTGGTTTGCCTACCGGGTTCAAAAAAAAATGAATCAAAACACACACACATATATATATATATAAAGTAGAAAAATATAAAAGTAGGGGATAATAGATGAAAAGGTAAGAAAATACAATAATGTATCGAATATAAAAGATTATCGAATAAGATTTATCCAATTTTTTACATTTAATGTGATTGTATTGAATATATATGATGTCTTTATGGTGCGACTGGTCAAATACTACACAATCATGTAGAAGCATAAAGTTAAATTCTCTTCTCCCATCCATCTTTGTTTCTGTTACCCATGCCAAATTAAGTGATGCAATATTACATCTTCATTCAAGGTTTCAAGACGGATCTTTAATGTATAGAAGCTACCTGATATGCAGTGCCAAGTGTACATCTATTTTGATTTGCCAAAACTAAAATCAAAAACCTATTAGATTTTGATATACAAGTGATTTAAAGAAATTTATTTAATGGCGTGTATAGGGCAAATGAAACAATAAAATAGACGTGAATATTACCAAAAAAATAAAAGAAAAACATTTTTCAAAAACAACAAAAACAATTAAATCAAAAGTCAATGTCAAGGATTTTATAGTTCGATGATATCATTGTAAGTTTGTGACACTCTTAAAGAGGAAGTCACAAGGTCCACACCCATCTCTGTTCAAAAATGTTAGCACACTTAAAAAAATCAAAATGCAATAATGTAATTAGGAGAGAATATTAGAATAGACAAGTAACAAATATTTTATTCTTCACAAATTTTGTTACATTTTTCTAATTATGATGTATTTAAAAGTTTGTTATACTTTCTCTTTTGATTCCTTAAAAAATACTACATCCACTCACTAACGATTGGACATGAGGATAAAACATAATTATTAAGAAAAATGAGTTTGTGTAATTGATATTGAATTGATAAAGTAAGAATGCTTTAGAGCCATACAAACTTTACCTAATTTGTTGTGAGATAATTTTAGTGGAATTTCTCGAAAAATAGAAATAGACGATCATAGCGAGACGAAAGAGGTTCTTTATTACTCTTAATTTTTCTACTTTTTATCTTCTCTTTTTTACGAAGTATATTTTTACTCTCTCCATTCTTTTTACCTGATTGATTATACTTACTATTTTCTCCCTTAAATATTGTGCCAAGACCTAATTATCTAGTACTCCCTCCGTCCCTTAAAACTTTGTCATCTTTCTTTTTTGTGACGTCCCAAAAAACTTTGTCACTTTCTCTTTTAATCAATTATTTTGTGGTTTCTGTTATTTCTCTTTCCTTTTCACAACCCTTAATCACACAGTTTTTATTTTATTATTTTTCGTGTCAAGTCAACTTTAACAAAGTTTTAAGGAAAGGAAGTAGTAATTATGTAGGTGGAAAGGGAGTATAAAATAATTTGTTGCCGATTATAGGGTGGGTTGATGGCCGCTTAACTAAGAAATGTAAGCAGTCGTGTTTAGAAACACACGACTTTTTGTTGAAGACTTTTACAACTAAAAAAAATGTCAAAAGAAAATGAAAACCGTAAGCAGCTTCGTTTCCGTTCTCCCAAGTCCCAACTAACAGCTCATTCCTACTTCCTGCCGAGAACTTAGAAACCTCATAAACAAACTCCAAAACAGCTTCTCGCTGCTGCGCATCGCCCCTTCCATCGATACCTGCCGGTAATAATTTGTTTATCTCTATCTGCTTTTGTATGCGCGTTTCTTGTCCGATCCTTCTTTCTTATCCACTTGGTTTTGCTTGTTTTTTCCTTCTCTTTTTCTTTTTGTTTGACTGGGAGCTTTTGTAAGCTGGAAGTTAAGGAAAACAGGATTATTTCATTTCTAGCCCTGGGATTAGGGCTTTCTGAGCTCTTTTCTAGTTCAGTTTTGCGGCGGAGGTGTAGGTTTTAACGATTGATTTACAGATCTTTTATCTTTAATTACATACCATATTTGAAATTGGAAATGAACTTCAGTAATTTTGACAAGCAATTCTAGAACTTGCACAGGGTAGAGCGTGGAGGAGGCTGTGATGTTCCATTTTGTGTTCTTAACTCCTCTGAAGTCTGAACCCCAGTATTACTATTTGAAGGCTCCAAATCAGTTACATAACTTGATTATGTGTTGAATGTTCCGAATTTTTCTATACTATTTCTATTTTTCACACTACAACCAATAACTGAGATTTGGATGGAAACCATGAAACATGTGCGTTGTTTCTCTCTTTCCTTGCATTAACATGAAATTAATGGGTTTCCACTTATGCACTTCTGTTTGCAGGTTACATATATAACATGCCAGAGCCAGTTGAGGCTTTTGAGAAAAAACATTTCGATAGTGGGATCCCAGTCAAAGAAGATAGTGAGTATGTGAGGCTATTTGTAAATGATGAAGCAACAATTAGCGAATCATATGTTTTCCAATCACCTCTTGAAAGCAGAAAAAGAGATCTGAAATGGTGGACCAAGGCATTTATGTGGTGCATTATATGTATACTGATTCTCTTGATCTTCGTAAAGTGGGGAGTTCCTTTTCTCTTTGAGAAGGTGTGTCATTTAACTCATTCATGTGCCAATGTTTAGCTACCTGAGCTTTCATGATGAAATTGCTTTGGTTTCATCATATAAATAAAGAACAAGTTCCTTAAATATCACCAAGTTACTGCCTACTTGACCAAAATGTTAATTTTTAGTTTAGGACAAAAATATCACCAATACAGTGACCAACTGGCAATGACTAGCTATCACCACGTAGCTAGCCAGTGACTTTCTGTAAGTGGGTTAGTAACATTTTTGTCCGGGTTCGCAATTAGTAATATTTAAAGAATGATCTTAAATTAATATAAGGGCAATGAGACTGTTTGTAGTAAAAGTCATGTTGTTTGGAAGCTAGCATGATGAGAAATGTGAATATCTTGTCAGCACAAAACGAACTTCTTAATTATTCTCTTATTGACTTCCTATCTTGAAATCTACTTCTTAACTAATCATATTCAAGTCAATTGAACCTTTGACCTGACCTTTGCCTTTTCTCGTAGGTACTGATTCCCATCTTACAATGGGAAGCCACCGCATTTGGCCGTCCAGTGTTAGCACTCATCCTTGTTGCTTCATTGGCATTATTTCCAGTGTTTCTGGTCCCCTCTGGACCATCAATGTGGCTAGCTGGAATGATCTTTGGATATGGCCTTGGCTTTGTCTTAATCATGTTTGGAACAACCATCGGAATGCTCCTTCCTTACTTGATTGGTTTGCTCTTCCGAGACCGGATCCATGTAAGCTTAAGTTGATTGATGCTTGAGCATATACTTACCTTATTATAACTATAACTATTATTACTACTATCATATTCATTAGTATTATTCCAAATTTTTTTATTCTGCAGAAATGGCTGAAAAAATGGCCACAACAAGCTGATGTTATCAGATTGGCGGGAGAGGGGAGTTCATTTCACCAGTTTCAAGTGGTTACACTGTTTCGGATTTCACCGTTTCCATATACCATCTTTAATTATGCTGTAGTGGTAACAAGCATGAGATTCTGGCCATATTTGTTGGGATCAATTTCAGGAATGATTCCTGAAGCTTTCCTCTACATCTATAGGTAATATAACTCTATACCTCTGTATGATTGGTATGAACAATGTCCACTCTGGTGGGAGAAGGATAAGGGTGGCAATGGGATGGTCAAGATAGTTTTTTATTCGGATTACAAAAAATGGATCAAACCCGGAGTCCTTTTAAAACTCATCCAAAGTCCAAACCATTCACTAAGAATTTTCACATGCGGATATTGAAACTGCGAAAATTGGTTCTGGTATCTTTATTTATATAGGTTAAGAAACTGGTACGGAGTCGACCAAGAAATAACCCGGAACTGGATCTGGTATACCCAGTCAATGTCCTGTTTCCACCCTCTCTAGGACCCGGAACCCTCATTGGATGGATTGCAACACTGAAATTCTTTTTTCACTTCTTAATGATCCATAATATTCATCTGACTTTTGTTATGTCTGTCTGCAGTGGCAGGCTTATAAGGACATTTGCTGATGTCCAATATGGGAATCATCATCTAACTCCTGTGGAGATCATAGCGAATGTTATTTCACTCATTGTTGCAATAATCACTACGGTTGTTTTTACTGTATACGCAAAGAAAAAACTAAATGAACAGGCAGCAATTGGCACCCAAGATTCCATCTCTGGACGTGATAAATTTGAGATGGAGAGACTCCCCCCTGAAAAACCTAAGCAAAGTCATACCCCATCCTTGTAGTTGTATTTAGAGCCTGACTTTATTTAGATGACTGCTGTATATAATCTTGGGGCTTTTGTAAGATTACTCTTTCATAGCCCCCTCTCTGTAATGTGAACAATGATAAATAACAAATGGAAGGCGATTATTACATAAGAAGAGTATCCCTGTAAGACTGCAACTCACATTAAGAAGTGATTGTTATTTTTTCCTACCATTAACAATTATAAGATGAATATCATTCACTTTGGTGCTCAGACGACATGCTTGTTGTTTTTATGATGTCTAAATTTAGTTACTTTTTATGCACAATGTCAAGTTAGTGTCTATTACACCGTGAAAAAGAATGTGAAAGGTTTTTTATAAATTTATTATTTTTTGTTTCATCTTTCTTGCCACATATATCCACCATTAACACTTCTGCATTGAAGATGCTCTAAATATTCTACTATTTTTACACAATTCATGCAACCTTCTTATCCTTTATTTGGCTATTTTCCTAAACTAAAAGAATGACTTTCATGATTTCATCTCTGAGGGACAGTTATCTTGGAAAATATAAATTGAGCTTTGGTTGATAATGAAAAAAATAAATTTCAGTTCAGACCACTGATTGGAATTGAATTTGCAACTTCTCACTTGTGACACCTTTTCGGCTTTTCCTACACTGCAGAACTCTTAGGAGCACTAAATTGGTTATGCTTACATCAAATTAAAATAAATGAAGTACGTAGTATCTTGAACTATTTGTTACCGAAAATTACACATGGCTGAAAATTCTGGAAGACGATCAATTAACTGGAGGATAACCTGATAAAGTTCGTCTTAGAAAAAGAACGTTTAATTTTTCGAAAAAATGGGAGACTGAAGAAAAATATTGATAAGAAAGCCAATGGTATGCTTTTGGAAAAAAATGGTCCTCTTTTCTAGAAGATGCAAATACTAAATAGTATAAGAAGGGAAGAGAACGTAAAATGTTGAAGAAATCTAACGTGTGGTAACGGGCAAGAAGATTAAAGCAAGCATCAAATACTTGCTTTATCGGAAACGTTCCCGTATCTGATACTTTAGGACATTCGTACCGTACGTTCTCGAGCCGTATCTGTGATTTTTAAAAGTTTCCATGTTTGGTAATTATTTTAAAATTTCGGATACTCATACCCTGACGTATACACATATCAACTTTTAAAAAAAAAAATCTTTCAAAAAAAACTTTTTTTAAAAAACTCCCAAAATTTACATAATAAAATTCTTAAAAAATGAAAAGCTAAAAATAACTTTAACCTTGCTTTTATGTGGTACACAACTAATGAGTCTATTGCTAACTCACTCATCCTCCTATCTCTAATTCTAATTATCCCTAGAAATTAATAGCTCCAATGGAGATATGTATTACTCCCTCCGTTCCTAAATAAACTTCCAACTTTCCTTTTTCATCCGTTCCAATTAAAACTTCCACTTTCCCTTTTTAGTAAAGAATTTGTGGTTCACAACATTTCTTACACATTTCTCTCTCCTCTGCACAACTCTCCATCACACAATACTCACCATCTTAAACTCTGTGCCAAACCTATTTGGAAGTTTTAATATGAACGGAGGTAGTAGGACTTTTAAAATATTGTTTTCAATCATTATTAGTCTAGAACTTTGAGTACTTGCACTTTTAATGTGAAAAGTGTAGTTGTTTGACTTATTTCTTATTTAAAATTAATGACTTGTTGACTATATTTATATTTCGAGATGCACTAGTATATATGAGATAAAATATGAATTTAAATCTAAGTTTTTTCAAAATGTAAAATGCTTCAATGCCATAAATGGGTAGACGTCGGAGGATAATACGTGTGTATTTTTTCAAAAACAATTGTATTTTTAATATTTATAAATACATACCCCTATAACTTTTAATATTTATAAATACACCCTAGGGACTCATTTGAATCCGGGATTAAGAGGTGTTAAATAGGTCATTATGACTCATTTGATTGCTTTTTACAAGTAGAGGTACTTATATAACATTTTATTGAGTACATGCACTTATGTGACTATTTCATAATGGCAGAAGGCCTTATTTGACCCTTTTCCGTTGAATAAACATTTGATTGAGTGTTTATCCATGGGCACATGTCACATTTTGTGAACTTTGTGATGTGCGTACAAAAACCAATAAATATTTTGTTAATACGTGGGAAGATATTTTTGCATGAAAGATTTTTTTAAATGTAATAAAACTCTTAAGGGATTTTAAATTGTGAAGTACGGAGCAAGACTTTTCGCAATTTTCCCACCCTAAAACCCATTTAGGAACATATTCTTTCTTCTCTTTATTTTCATATATTGTCTGGCCGGCAGCAAAGCTAAGTCGCGAGGTTTCCCTCCACATTAGCCACCGTAAACCACCGAACCCGGACTGCCAAACACGCTGTCGCCGTCGGCACTGCCATGCCGACTTTTACCAGCATCGCTCTTGAGAACCTACTCGAACCGCGCCTTCGAGATTCGCACAAAAAGCCTTTGGGCTCAGAGCAAATCACGATAACGCCGCGCGGCACCAACGGCGGGACTACTAAGGAGGAAGCCGGGTTAGAAGGGGCGGAGAATACGAAGCATCAATCTCCGGGTCTGCAGATAACATCGGACCCTACACCGATTCCCGATGCATCATCTGGGTCCATTTCGCCCTCTCCCTATGTGGCCAATCGGAAGAGGCGCAGCGGAGGGGATATAGCCAACCGGAAAATAGACGAATTTGATGATTCGGAAAGGAAGGAAGGTGAGAAAGGCGACGAACAGAATGCATCGACTTTCCAGGTTAGGGATACTATGGAAGCGGAAGCCATGGAGGATTTGGTATTTGGTACTCCTGAGGTAAGCGCAGATCGAATCAAGGGGCTTGAGCTAAGGGATGAAGTGTATTTAAATCCGAAGTGTGATGTATTACTTGTAGGAAGTGCGAATGAGACGGTAGAACTCGATTCCCAGAGCTTTGCATCTACCCAAGGAGACTTTTTCGATGCAAATGAAGGTGAACTATTCATACCCCTAAGAAGATATACATAATTTTATGTTTTAACATCTTCTGCTTGTCTTATAGTACTGAAACGTATTGGCGTGTCTGTTTCTGCTTTTACCAGCGTTTTACGTGTGTGGATATTGATTTCCACGTTGTATAGTTAACTTTATTGACATGTAATTGTGTGAAGTTTATACGGAGAATGTTATAATTGTTCCAGCAAAAAAAACCACCACTAGTCCAGCTAAGGCAGTAAAGGCTTTATTATTATATAGACAGCATATAGGGGTATAGATATACAGATTGCATATATTTTCTGGTTAGGCCTGCTTTTGTTATTCTTCCTCTCAGCAGAAGTGATGAACTGATGATTATATGATCTTCAATGTTATATTCAGAGTTCTCTGATGGGTCTGCTTCTAGTGTGTCATCATATATAGTTACCATGGAATCCGAATTACAAACCACAAGGCTCCAGCTCCTTCAAGAAATAGAAAAAAGAAAGGATGCTGAAAATACTCTTAATATGATGAGCTGCCAGTGGCAACGGATCAGCAACATTCTATCCGAGGCAGGATTAAAGCTTCCTTCACCATCATCGGTCATTGGTGGTATGGAACCTGACCCAAACTCAATTGAAGACATATTACAAGAAATAATTGTGGCTAGGTTCGTTTCTAAAGCTGTTGGAAAAGGTCAAGCGCGTGCTGAAGTTGAACTAGCTGCAGAGGCAATCATTGAATCAAAGAACCAGGAAATCTCTCGTTTAAGAGACAGGTTAATGTATTATGAGACTGCTAACCGCGAAATGTCCGAGAGGAATCAGGAAATCCTTGGTATGCTTTGCTCCTCCAGTTCTCCTTTGCTTAATTAGTTGCCAGTGATTGCATTTTGAGATCAAAGTGTGCTTTATGTGCCTCTGTGTTTTTAGAGTGAGAATGAGGTCGGGTATATGTGTGCATGTAATTAGAGTTAACTCACCCCAAAAGGAACGTCAATAGATTAGACCTCATACTTATATCCGACATAGAGCAGGGGGTACTTCAGTACTTGTATGATACTTTAATTGAGATAGATAGATGAGCCTAACTATTCATAAGTTAAGCCTAACTCACCACAAAAAAGGACCCTCAAGGAAGATAGATAGATGAGAGCCTAACTACTCATAAGTTAAGCCTAACTCACCACAAAAAAGGACCCTCAAGGAGGAGGTGACACCTCATACTTATATATTAGACACAAATTGGTTATACATCCACAAAGCATATCTAGAAGAATTCATTTTTCATCTTCATGCTCTATGTCATGCAGATCTCATAATCATTGTTATTGTTTGCTGACGTAAATCATGCAGCCAATTGGGAAACATTAAAATGCGTATGTCCACAAAGCATATCTTCAATTTTCATCATCATATGTGTGATGTCCCAAACTCTTATGGGTCTGGGTCTAGGCTTGGATGTTGTTGTTGTTGATCATGATATTATTCTATGTCATGAGATCTCATAATCATTGTTCTTATTTGCTGATGTAAATCATGCAGATACTGCAAGGAAGCAACATCAAAGGCAGATGACTCAGCAGAAGTTATGGAGCTGTGTAGGACTTTCAGCCGTAGTTGGCATTTCAGTGGCTGCCTACTTTTACCTGTCACAACCAGGTCACCACCAACTCACATCAAGCTCTGGACATTCAACAGCAGGCGATGTGTGACTCAGCTACTTGGAATTAGATTAGTGCAAGAGTTGTTCAGATTTATTCAGTCAACCTCATCCTCCTGCTGCTGCTGCTGCTTTATCACAGTTGGTATATTAAGTTGCTCACAACCAATGAGGCATGATATCAGTTTTGCGTGGCTAATTGTTGATGGTCTAAAGCTATTATATTGCATTGGTTAAGCCCATTTGTTTTAGTTATTAAGATTGAGCGCGTAGAACGTATACCATCTCAACAATGGAATCTGTATGGATTACTGTTGTTATAGAAATTAACCTATATAATTGTAAAAACAATGTGAAATTCCAAAATACGATTACTATATTTTTTACCAAAATAGGACAGTATTTTACTCCTATTTAGGAGAAAATATTGTACTCATATTTTAGAATTTTATATTGTTTTTACTTCTATTTTGGGAAACTTCCCTTTTGCCCTTACAAAGTTTCTTACATAGTGGCTTGAATAAAATTTATTTTGTCTGGATGCAATAAACACTTGTAGTTTTTCAATACTTCAATGCGATCCGTCAATTTGTGATTATAGTTTAATATACATCATTTCATAAAATTGCGGTTAGTCAAATCTCAGTATTTTTAGTGTGGGAAAGCCGGAAAGGCCTACGGTTGCCTTTTAGTTGATTTTTCTCTTTCTCAAATCGTAAAAAAATAAATAAGGTAGCACGGTGCATTAGTGCATATATTGACATCCCTGCAAAATGAGGGTTCAACGGTTCAACCACAAAAGTGTATAATGGCATACTTTTCTTTATCATTTTGACAAAAGACCGCTGCCAAAATCATGATACAAAAGTAATTATAAGCAACTTGACCAACACCCGACACCAATGAAAAATGGAGTCAAGTTTGAATGAATACATAGACACTGTCAAGTCTATCAGGAAAGGTCATCTAAAACAGCAACGGTTTAGAACAGAGCACATATAACACTGGCAATTGGACAGAGAAGCGTGTCATTGGAACATCTATTACATATAACGGCTTTACATAAATGAATTCATACACACCCTAGCAATGGAACTTCAATACTATGTTCGATAAGGAAATGAGACTTTGAGTTGCTGGCTCCTCATTGACTTCCCACTGCAAGATCATGCCAAGTATCACTTTCCACTGGTTGAGACTCTTGATCTGTAAAAGATGAAAGTTTGCATCATTTGATTTTGTTTGAAGTTCAACATAGGCACTCCCAACTCTTAGAAACAAAGAAGATAAGTTTTTGTGTTTCTCATCTAATCTGGAAAAAAAAACAAATAACCCATGTATATTCATGCATGACTCACACACTTCAATTCCCAAGAGCAAAATGAGTTCTCCAAAAGAAGAAAGAACCCCTGAGGAGGTTGAAACATACATATCAAATTATAGCTCATATAGTCAATTTCACAGCCAGTAGTATACAGTTAATTGCAAAGGAGCATAAAGATTTATTTTGTGAAATTAACAATAATCAGAAACCACTTCTATAAGCCCTCATCTACAAAACAATGGAATGCATTAAAGGTTGTGATAATGGACGATGACTTACGGAATATGAAAGAATGCTAATACCATTATCAATTACTAGTTTGGTCAAGTTTTGTAGGAAAAATAGCAATCCAGATTCTTGAATTTAAAATGCAAAACGCCAAAAACAAAATAAAAGCAGACTGTTTAGGCGTCTACTCTAGAGTGAGTGTACAATATGTCCCTATTCCTATGATGTGAGCATGTTTACCGCTCTTAGTGTCAGATCTAGCACCTAACTTTGTGTATTTGAATTACTTCACGATTACTATGTTGAACAACAGTACTGAACAATTTTGATGCAAAAGTCATACACTGAACAAGAGTGGTTCAGCTACTGGTTCATCATCATGGAGTATTATGGAATGTATCTTCATATTAATATTATGTTAATAAATGTGGAGTATTATGGAATGTATCTTCCTATTAATATTTTATTATTAGTATTAGTTTCTTATTCAGTATTCATATTATTATTATCAACATGATATTATTATTATTTCCTTATTCAGTAATCATCATATTATTGTTCTTTATTCAGCTGCTTGAGTCAACTTCTTATGAGTTTCATATTAACATTTCCTATTATATTGGGCTGGTGTAATAGTTATATAAGAGACTTAGTATTGATTCATAAGCTAGTTTTTAGATAATCAATTCTTGTGGCTTGAAAGGTCAGACACCTATTAATGCATAGATCTATAATATTTTCTTTCCATCCAAATCTTAGAAGAGATCCCAACCACTCATAACATTCGATATTAGAGCTGTTTCCTTCATCTTCTTCCCTAGCTACTTTTTTCCTTTACAGGCTAAAACACAAGAAAAAAACAGCACTAGCAGGAAATATACTTCTACTTGAGGATACCAAGCCTTGCCAGCAAAGTGCAGCACAGGTCCCTCCTAGAAATGCCACTAACAGCAGAAGAGCAAATCACTGCTATCTGTCCTAGAGAGATAGAGATTTTGCTGCTGACCAGCAGCCAGAAGTCAGAGTAAGAATTAGGGCTGCCGACAAAAAAACAGAAATCAGCCAGCACGTCTATGTGCAAGCTTCTGACTCGCTAAAATATTGCATCAGACATGAAGAATGATGACACACTAATGGCAGTACTCCAACTTGCACTTCCACATATGTCCGACAAGAACGTTCAAGCACAAAGTTTAGAAAACAGAATGTCGATCTCTGAGACAAGTCAGACAATGATACATATTGTCAACTCCATGGAGGATCTTACTACTGCTACAAAAACCTAGCTTATGTCGTTACTGATCCAATGCAGGCTTTCTCAACCACCATGGAGGATCTTACTACTCATCATTATTATCATCATTCTCATTACCCCAGTGCCGCAAAGGCTCCCACCTACGGTGGGGTGGGGGGGGGGTCGGATGTACGCATGGAGGATCTTACTACTGCTACAAAAAAAAACTTGCTTCTGTAGTTATCCCTCCTTCAATGCCCGCTTGTTCGACCGTCATGGAGAACCTTTCTTCTGTAACAAAGAAGCTTACTTCTGCCAAAATCACCTCTGCACACCAAAAGTTTAGCCTTGTGTGGCAAAATTTTATTCTGCGCTGATTCAGACGCAGCACACCAATACAAGCCAGACTTTATGCTATAATTTTGAACAACAGATTCAGGGTTAACATCGTTGTAACAGCTTGTTAATATGGTCAGGGACTCGAGGTATTCGAGCTTTATGATTGGACTCAATTTGCTTGATGTCCCTCGTAGAACTCCATAGATGATGGATCAAATATACAATCCAGTCCAATGTAGGGCTGCCTTCAAAAGATTGGGCATAAGAATGTATGAGACTTCAGTTTATTTCAGGAAATGTCATCATATTTACACGCGAGTTGTTCCTTCAGCTCACTGTCCACTTGAAACACATTCCATGAGGTGCAATTTGCATCTTGTTGAATTTTTAATCACCCCATAAATTAAAATCATTTGACGTTGCACCTCACTACTTCACAATTTTTGGGCTCATGGGATGCATACATTAATGACTTTAAAAATGGGTGTAAAGTCAAATATCAAACAAAACATGGGATGCAAAGTCAAATTCTCCCAACAAATAAAGCGAGAAGACCTACTGAGAAAGATAGCCATTGGACATTTCTGCATCGCTTATTCATATTATTACTATTATTATTATTCATATTATTACTATTATTACTACTACTATCATTATTACTATTATTATTATTATTTCTTTATTCACTTTTAGCCAGTGTCTTACTCCGTACTATTTATGTTTCCTACTAAACTGATTGGGGCTTTTGATGTAATAGGAATATAAGGGTTTAATAAATTTATATGGAGAAATAAATAATTCCGATGGTAATATATAGACCGCAAATTATTCTAACTTACAAAACCCAACGACTTATCAAGTCAAGTTAGTCTGCACTTTAACCTGAAATCTCTTCTAGAAATATGCTTTCATTACTTTTCATGTATTGAAATACTTTGACTACGACTGAAACTTATGAAGTAGAGATTATTTTGCAATAAACGTCTTAGAAGGCATATTCAAAGTATTTGCCCGATAAAATTCCCAGTGAATCTTACTTGTATCGTCAGGATCGTCCGTTCGCGTAAGCAGCTCAGCCGGGAGCGGTAGATCTGCAAATGCTAATCTACGGTTACCTTCGTATTAACGCAATTTATTTATAAGAATGAATAAAATTAAAGCATAACAAATTAAATTAGGACATGAATGAGATACCATCGTCGGGCAGAGTGTCTCTCATCCATTCCTCATCAACAATGTCAATTAGAATTCCCAAACTCAACTGCTCCGCCATAGGGCCGCTGGAACAAAGTTTAGGTAGGGATAATGGACGAAAGATGTTGATTTGATCTGAAATAAGCAGAGTCGGAGATAAGCAGGTTTGATTTATGAGGGCGGGGAGTCAGTCACACCTGATTTTAAGAAAATACATGAACCTTACGTAATCCACGAAAATACCTGCATGATTTCTACTTCTATCCCAGCAGCGAACTGACCGGGTTCAGGAAGGACTTCAACATTCAATTAAACGAAGGAACCAGTTAGATTCTTACCTGATTCGACGAAGCTGTTGACAAGAATTGGACAAATTTATCTCACTGCCTAAAACCCTTCACTTGCCGCAGGGAGCTCCAAAATCGGGAGACGGTGAGATTCCTTTCAGAGGGCGTTTTTTGAAAGGGTATTTTTGTACTTTCAGAAAAAAATTACTCCTTCCGTACCAAAATTATCTTCATAGTTACTATTCACACGGTCAACTCAAATTACTCTTAATCTTTTATTTTATATATCAAATTTTTATCAAACTTAAATTTTCTTAATCAGCCTTTGTAGCGGATTTAATGTAGTTTCTGAATATGTAAATTTAATTTACTAAAAATAATCTGAGTGTGAATAGGGATCAAGTTGCTTTATCGTCAATCAAGCATCGTAAACCGAAATACGAAGATAAATATGGGACGGAGGGAATACCTGTGGTAGACGGTGAGTATGTCATAATCATTTATTATCAAATCAATTTTTACTTTTTGATCGGTATCACCTACAAGTATATCCTTAACGGGGTATTGTTAGGAGGAGTAAAATAAGCCCAAAATTCAATAATAGGAGTACAATCATTTTATTCTCAAAATAAGATTAATATATGTTTCTTCTTCCCATTATACCCTCTTCCTATCATTTCCAATAGATTTATTTTATTAATAAGAAAATCATAGTTTTATTTATAATAAAAATATAAAAAATAATAAAATATTTATAAAATAATAATGAAACTTGAAAAAAATAAAATAAAAATAAAAACAATTAAAAATAATAATAAATAATTATTTAAAAAAATTTAAAAAAAAGTCCAAAAAATAAAATAAAATACCCAAAAAATATTTAAAAAATATGTAGGTCACTGCCACCACGTCCTCTACCTCCCAGCACTACCGACTCCGGTCGCCGGAAAAAAATGCCATCTTGTGTAAAAAATGCCACATTTCTCTGAAAATGTCATAAAGATGTCATTTTTACTCTTTTAAATTATCCAGCTTTCTCTTGCTTTCTCTTCAAAATTGCCATCATGATAACAGTTTTTTCCCAACTTGGCAATCTTTTACTGCGACCGGAGGTGGGGGTGCTGGAAGGTGGCAGAGGTTGTGGTTGGGGTCTATATATTTTTTAATTCTTTTTTACGATTTTTATTTTTTTATTTTGATTTTTTTATAATGATTGTTTAAAATCCTATCATCAAGGACAAAGGAAAGGGTAGAATAGGAAGAGTTAGTCCTATTTTGGGAATTTAAACTTTAAACTCCTATTGTTGCAATTATCCTTTTATTTACTCTTATTTAGGTAAATCTCCCTATTCTTAAACACTACTTATTTTTTGTGTGGTATAAATCATTTTTTCAACAATCTTTTAAATAAATCATTTTGGATATACACAAGCAAACGCCAACACTTCCTTGTCAAAGTCAATTTGCACAAAAAATAAAAAAGTAAATTCTTTTTAAAAAAAATTAAAATAAGAACTTTATAATTAAAATTAATTTTTAACACAATTTTATAAACTTGAATGAAAATGACAATTTTTTTAGAATAATTAAAAAGGGAATAATTAAAAAGGAAATGTACCAAAGTTTTGTAGAATAGAGGGAGAATTATATTTTTTAAAACTCAATTTTTATCTTTTTGGTGTGATAAATTCACACTCCCTCATTCCCTTAAAGATTTGTCAGCTTGACCGGCACGTAGAATAATAAAATAAAAGTTGTACGGTAGATCGAGATTTGTGTAGAAGAGAACGATTTAACATGAACTACAATTGATTGATTAAAATAGAAAATAACAAAGTTTTAGAAACATCTAAAAAGAAAAGTTAGCAAAATTATAAGAGACGGATGAACTAATACTCTTAACCAAATTAATCACGTCTATTAGTAGCCCATTAGGCGATAACCCCAGAATATAAAAGCCCATTTCATAATCTTGATCTGTTTTCAGTTTTTCACTTCGACGTGTTTACTAAATAAATCAGTTTTGATTTTGTGTATTGAATTTTTTAACAATCAAAATAATTATGATTAAAATGACTTTTCTAGCTAAATTGAATGAAGTTATTGTACATGATCACTATTTATTCTTATATAATTTTTTCTTTATTTAATTAATAAAATATATTTCAAATATATTTATCTATAATTCAGCAAGTTCAATCATTTCAATATTGCGAAATGAACTCTAAATCCCTAGTCTTGCAAACAATAGATTAATATGGAGTACAACCAAAATAGAAGTAAAGATGACTAAACTGTAAATAATTATATAGTCTCACATTGCCGTATATCTATGTGAATTTTAAGCAATCTAATGCAAAAAAAAAATGCTTTCAAAAGTAAGAGGAGGTAAGCGGAAACTAAAAACAAACAAAAATGCAAAACCTTCGCCCTCAAGCAACAGTACAATCATTATTTGTTTATAATGTCATATTTAAAATTTAAATCAAATTGTTGTAATTAAATCAAAAATGCCATATGTGCTGTCGGAGAATATTCAAAGTGTTTTGAAAATTAGGAATGAGTTTAGTCTTTCTTTTTGTAAACTTTATTCAAATCATTTTCATCGTGTTCTAGCTAGCTATGTGAGTTGTGTTATTACCAGATCATGATAGCTATTTTATTGAGGTGTCCGAAAAGTATTGTAAATAAGTTGACAAACGATTTATTGGAGTAATGAATGTTGTTTTGTGTTGCAAAAAAAAATCAAAAATATCTTCACCAAATAATAATGTCAAATTGATTAATAGAAATCCATCAACTTGAACAAAAATATCATTTTGATTGGTGAAAGAAATCACATAAATTAAAAAATAAAACAAGAAGTGGAGAACTCCGAGATCCGGGTTAAGAAGATCATCAATTAAGAAAACCTTCCAAATTCATGTGTGATAACTAACTTAAGACCTCCCACCAGTGGTGGAGCCAGAGGTTTGTCCAAGGAGGGGCAAACCAAAGACTAAAAATTTTAAAGTTCGTGTCCAAAATATAATAAGAACAACAATAGCGTAATAATTTAACAAAAAAATATAGTTCATTACATACTACTTGATTTACTTCTGCAACCTAGGCAAATCAATCCTACGAGTTTTCATATTTTGAAAATGCTGCATAATAGCTTCATTATCAATTGTTTGAAAAATGTCTCTTTCGATGTAGCATACTAAGCAATCCGTAAGATAGTCATCTCACATCTTATTGCGAAGATCTGTCTTGATAATATTCATCGCTGAGAAAGCTCTTTCAACTGTGGCTGTTGCAACTGGTAACACTAGAGCCAACTCAATAAGACGATAGACCAAGTGAAAAGATTTGTGAATTGTAAGCTCAACCATCTTCTTATACACTTCACCAATACTTTGTAAAGTGGAAAATGCTTCATTTCCTCTCATCTCATATATCCAAACTTGGAGTTGTTCTTTAAGCTCCATTTGCTCAACAGCTGAAAAATCAGATGAATATAACTCCGCAAGACTGAGTAGCTTTGACTCACAGAAATTGGAAAATTTATCTTTAGGATCAAGGCAAGCTAAACAAGCGAGTAATTCTGTATTTGACTCACTAAAGCGATTCTCCATTCCCAGATTGACCTGGTCTATAACCTACAATAAGGTAATAATAAAAAGTAGTAGTAATAGTAATAATAATAATGATAATAATAATAACAACAACTAATAAATAATTTAAATTTTAATAAAAAATACCTGATAAAAAATATCAGCTCGAAAGTGATGATAATTTGTTACCGGATGGCGAACGCGTCTAGAACGATGAGTTGTATCTTCCATGTTTAGAATGTCAATTTTATTCTTCACACAAAATTTACTGACATCTTCTAATAGCTCTTCCCATCCACTTTCTCTCAAATCTTGGAACTTCTCTTTAGTGCTTTTAATCAAGCTCACAACCTCAAGAATGTTCTGATCTTTTTGTTGCAAGAAATGTGACAACATATTCGTCAATCCCAATACCTTCTTCATCAAGTGGGCTATAAAAACAAATTGATAGCTCTCCATTTTTTCAACCAAACTACTAGCTTTGCCCCTTGATTTCGAATCAATTCCATCATCAAATATATTGTCAAGCACTTGGATTGTTGGAGACCACAAAGATAGAATACGAATAATGGTTGTAAAATGTGAACCCCATCGAGTAGCTCCCGGTCGTGCTAAAGTACTTTCTTGATTCAATCCTCTCCCGGTCGTAATTTCACCTTTTTCTAACATGGCTACCATGTTTTCATGTTGTTTTTGGCGAAATTCATCTTTTCTTTTACAAGAGAATCCAACCATGTTAGTAATCATTGACAAATATTCAAAGAAATCACTCACAAAATTATTTTTTTGAGAAACAACCACAACAACTAATTGCAATTGGTGAGCAAAACAATGAATATATCTCGCATGTGGATTTTCATTCAAGATAAGAGTCTTCAATCCATTCAACTCACCTTGCATATTAGAAGCTCCATCATACCCTTGTCCTCGAACTCTAGACATTGATAATTCATGTTTTGAAAAAAAATCATCAATGCCACTTTTTAAAGAAAGAGATGTGGTCTCAACAACATGCTTAACCCCAAGGAACCGCTCAATCACAACTCCATGATCGTTTACATATCTCACAACAACTGCCATTTGTTCTTTCACAGAACTATCACGAGCTTCATCAATCAATAAAGAAAAAAACTTGTCACCAAGATCATTTATTATGACTTTTGTTGTTTGTGATGCGCAGGCATTAATAATATCTTTTTGAATCATAGGACTAGTAAGTTGGTGATTCGAAGGTGCATTGTCTTTCACACTTTTGCCACATCGGCATTGCGTGCACTATACCATTCTAGCAATTCCAAGAAATTTCCTCTATTTAATGAGCTCTCTCGCTCATTATGACCACGAAAAGCCAATCCTTGTGCAATTAAAAATCTAGCACAATCCACACTTGCATTCAAACGAGTATGGTATGTCGCACCCAACAGTTGTGTTCCTGAAGAGAGACTTCTTGAAATACTTTGTTTTTGATTTTTGAAAGCAAAAAATTGTGTTCTAGCATCATTGTGCACACTCTCTACAATACCAACATGATCTCTAAATTTTTCAGGAGCTTTCTTCCAATTACGGAATCCGGTCCTCACAAACACATCATCACCAAATCTCTTTCCTTCATGCCCATGAAAAAGGTAACACCAAAAACAGAAAGCGGCATCTTTAGAAATACTATATTCCAATCATTCCCAAGTTTTAAACCACTCTCCTCGAAAGCTCTTTAATGTCTTACCAAATTCAGTTCGTGGAAACTTATGAGATGCTGGTTGACAAGCACCTTTAACAACATATGCTCTCATCACATCATCCCTAATCCCCGGCGCATATTCATTAATTGGTTTTCGTAAAAATGGATCACTAATAATATCCCATTCATGTATACTTTCTGTTCGGGCTCTCTTGTCCCTCTCATTCCTCTCATCTCTAGCAATATTTTCATTTGACGTAGTGGCATTTTCAACACTAGAGATAGACTGATTAGGAACAATTGAAGAACTAACACCTCCAATCAAAGACCTCTTAGTCTTAATTACAAGTTTATCCAAACTCATACTCTAAATATAACAAAAATAAGTATGAATTAAAAATGTTCCTTATACAAATAGCATTAAATTGCATCTAGAACTGAGATTTGAGGATTCACACAAATAATTTCTGACTTTTCGTTAGGGATGACAGCAAATAATTAATATGGGCATAAATTGGCAGATGAGAAACTTACTTGAAAATTGCAGAATCTGAGAACAAATGGTGAGAAGTGAGAACTAACTGGAGAAGGAAGGTAGATTTCTGTTGGGGAGTAAAGCCGGAGAGGGAGCGGGCGATGCTGCTTCTCAGTTCTCACGTTCGCTGCCTGCCTGCGTTCTCAACTGCTCGATTCATTTTTTTTGGCGGAGTGGGAAGGGACTGCCGACTGCTTAGGTCTTTTGTTAATGAAGCTTTGAATTTTTAACCCACTTAATGGCTTTAGACTTTAGTGATTACGTTTTGAATTGTTATTTTTTTCATTTTTGGGCTTAGGCTTTAGGATTGTCTAGGTGGCTTGGGTTTTCGAATTGTTTTTTTTTTCAGTTTTCTACTTATGCCCGTTTTTTTTACTTAGCCTTAGACTAGATGCTCATTTGTCTCATTGACTCATTAATCCCCTTTTATTCTATATTTCATTTTTTTTTACTTTTTCTGAAAATACTTTTTTATTTATTTTAACACTTCATCTTAAAATAACCTTAAGTTGTACTTATTGTTTTTAAAATTAAAAAAGAAGTCGGGGCAAGAAACATATTATAAGTAATACTAGTAAAAAAAAATAGTCGGAGCGGGGGCGCTTGCCCCCCCCTAGCTCCTCCACTGCCTCCCACTATGATATACTTGAATCACCTCACCATTATCAAATTGTCGCAGTATTTTGTTAGGACCTCCTTTATTATGTGTATATAGTTCTGTTCAACTTTTGCCTTCTCTATATTCAATAGCTTACGGTCACGCCAACCTTTTGTGTGGCACTTTTTCCCTTTCTTATGTGATTGGTGGGGACGGAGGTGTGTGTATGGGTAGGGGGTCATGGCTCCTCCCAACCTTTTTATTTTTTAGTAGTATCAGTATTACATATGAAATAAGCAAAAAAAGATTGGGTCAAAATTATCGGATAGAAGCTTGCATTTGAGATACTTTTCGTAAAAAATTTTGATGAACTTTTGTGAACACGTATTTCTTAAAGTGTAGATTACATCCACCGAATTTCATCTTATATTTCTATCGGAAAGTCCACTAAATAAATTATGAAAAAATACTGTGTCTTTTATTTATTTTTTTGCGCAATGTTTCTCAATAATTTATTTAATCGACTTGGTGATTGAGTTTTAAACCGAAATTTGATGTGAATAATCTACATACCATGAAGAACATTGTCACAAAATTTCATCAAAAAATTCCACCCGAAATCACCACTAACGTATGCATCCGGACAGTGGATCCCGTCATGTAATTCTGACAAGATCATTTCATTCCAAAAAAATAATTACATATATACTCCCTCTGTCCCGGTCATTTCTTCCAGTTTTCCTTTTTGGGTCGTCCCAATTAATTCTTCCAACTTTCCTAAAAAGGAATTCAACCCATACCAAAAACCCTATTTTACCCTCCCCAATAAAAAAAAACATTTCCCACTCCCCTTCCCTTTTACCCGTTCGCATCCCCCTCTCTCTCATTTACTCCCACCCGCATCCCTCTCTCCCATTTACTCCCAACGCCTCCTCTTTCTCTGTCACTGCATCCGTCTCTCTCAATTACTCCAACCGTCTCTCCCATTTACTTCCTCCATCTCCCCCTCTGTAAATCTATCTACCCTTATGACTCCTCCTCTATCACATTTTTATGGATCTAAACCCTAATACTTTGAGTATGGAGAATATTGAACACTTCATCATCCATGACAGTGAAGAGGTTGTTCTTCCGGAGGAAGCGGTGGCGTTGGACACAGATGACCCTGTATTGGTACTTCATCCGAGGTGCATGGCTCAGAACTCCCCGGCAGAGGATGCCCTCCTCATCATCCCGGACAGTGAAGAAGAGCTTCCCGAGGATGTAAGTGAGAAGCCTGCAGAGGTCGTGGGGGAGACGGTGGACCCAAATCGACTTAAAAGACGCAGAGACATTGACATGCATCCTATTCGGAGAAGTCCCCGACTGGAGGAGTTCCTAAAAATAATTTTGCCAAAATGGGAAACAAGGATGTGGGACGTGGACACAGATTAGGGGAGTTTCTTCTATACCTTATCTTCATTTATGGTTTAATTCGTACTCTATGTCCATTGTGTGTAATTTGGGGGAAGCAATAATGAAAAATTGTTTTTTTATGTTTATTGTGATGCATGTGGGTTGTACATGGTGGTTTGGGATTATAAATGGTAGTTAGGCATACTGTGATGAAAGTATACCTTGTGTGTACTGGTCCTTTATGCATACTGTGATGAAAGTAGACCTTGTGTGTACTGGTTCTTTATGCATACTGTGATGAAAGTAGACCTTGTGTGTACTGGTTCTTTATGCATACTGTGATGAAAGTAGACCTTGTGTGTACTGGTTCTTTACTGCTATGATTGGTTCATTCTTAGTGGTATGCTATGATGAAAGCATTAGGTTGTGATATGGTACTCTATGCATGCTATGATGACCATATGATAGTGTTTGGGTGGTTAATGCATACTGTGATGACCATGACCCTCATATGTGGTGTTTTATGCATACTATGATGAGCATATGAAAGTATTTTGGTAGTTTAAGCATACTGTGATGACCATGATCCTGTGATGTGGTACTTTATGCATACTATGATTGTCACGCCCCGGACCTATCCGGACACGTCAACAATCCGTCGTACAATATGAATAGTCAACCGCAGTCCAACTCATCCATATTATACAAGGCGTCTCGAATATCATTCACACATAAATCATCCATAAACATACATAATAAGTAATTGAATACGCAGCGGAAATCATAGTTTGGATACAAGTGCCACACGTCATGTTCACCCATGCAATTCTAGAGCTCGGCTCAAGTACATCTCCTTACATGGGCTGAACCTAATCCTTATGTCTACCCAATGCAATTCTAGAGCATCGGGCTCAAGTACATCTCCTTGCATTGGCATAGACCCCAATTCCTAAGCACTCGCTATGCCTAGAATTGTAATATCAATAATCTATTTCGGGACATCCTTACGGACTGCCTTATCATGATCTTAGCATCACATTACAACAATTTACTCACTTGAACCACAATCAAGTATATCACTTACAATCAAATCCTTAGATTCAATTTCTTAACAATTACAAACAATCATTAACTAGTATTCCAATACTATTAAGATTGTTCTCATCAATCATATGTTTCATTTGTAAATCCCTACATATTTAGAAATATGTAGCAGCAACTTAGTCACCCAATGTACTACACAAATAATCATTTATGTATTTACACAATTCACACATGAGTAAAAATATCTATTTCACACAATAGTTCATTTAACTTCATTTTTATCAATATGATTTCCAAATCATTTGCAATTTCATTACTTATCCAATATATCAATATTTCATCAATAATCAGTCATTATAATCCATGAAAAAACATGATTTAGGCATTTAGGTAATCTCATGCTTAACCTACAAGTTGTAAGCAACTAGATGTCGATCCTCACCTTAAATGAGCTTTAAATCTTTCCCTTTTAATCCAATGCTCAAAGCTTCGTCCAAGGAAGTTTGAGAACTGATTCCTTGCTTAGAATTAATGTTTAGACAGCCTCCTCAAGGTGCTAGTTCAACACTTATCCAATGATACAAAAACAGCTCCTAGAATGAGTGTTTTCCGGCGAAAACGTTTCCTAACCTTTTAAGGTTTGTTCTAGGTTAGTATCTAACCTTTCCAAAAAATAAATAACTTTATAACAACACTTTATACACCTCAACCAGTGTACAATATCTCCTCAATCATTTATACGATTTAGACAATAGAAAGGAAGGTTTTGGATTCAAACTTACTTTGAATACAAAATCGTATTCTGCGAGGTCGCGTTTCGTTTGGACGATTTGGAAGCCTTAAGCTGCTCCGTTTTCTTCAAACCACACGCCTGTGGATTCCTCTTTTCTAGAGGTTTCAGTGGGCACCTCACACGCCTCTTTTGGATGAGCAGAACTCGAGATATGAGTCGCACAAGAAGGCCAGCGCACCAGAAGTTCTCCCTGTGGCCAGAATCTTCTCCCTCTCTTGCTTTCTTTCTCTTGTGCGGCTTTTCTCTTCCCCTTATCTCTTGAGTTCGAATGAGGGGTGAGGGGAAGATATCGGGATGCTCGCAAAACGTTATCTAAACGTGTGGCTCCCAAAAATAAAAGGTTGGGTGTTTGATTCCAATCAAACATGGAATGGTCCTCCTCTTTTATTTCTCTTTTGAATTGTTTGGGCTCTCAACTCAATAGGTCCGCCCCATTTATGTGTTCTAACTTATCCTACCTGATTTGCAGGTGCTAGGAAGGTGTGGGGCGTACTCTCATGTCCCCTAATTAATTTGGGAGCAAAATATCTACCAATACATCCAAGAGTGGAAAGATGAGTCCTATCATTTTTGTCCTTTGTCATAAGATGTACTTTTGTACTCTCCCCAATTTATTCAGATCAAGTCAACCTCCTACTTCATATTATTGGTCTCTAATATGTGTAGGATGGTCCCAATAATTTATTTGATGTACAATTACAAAAGAAAATCCTACTCCCATTATTAAGCCTAATAATGTCAAAGATGGGACCATAGGCATTTGTATTCTTCTCCAATCATTCCATCATTCGTTTATGATGTTAATATGTATATCCAAGCATCCTATATATATATATAGGCTACCAACCGTGTGGGTCACCCTCCAATGGGTCTAGGATGTCATTTTAGAATAATTACTATTTTTAGCAGGTTAGGCCCAAAATAACATTTGGGTTGCGGGCTGCCTGACCGCTCTTACATTGTACCGATGAGCTGTATATCTTTATTTAAGGATGTTGGGCCCCAATATCAATGATATGGCCCAATTAATTATTTAGAAGCCTGTTACCATTGTATGAGTCCAAATAGTAATATGATAAATCATACGTTCCGTAAAACTTTAATCGTTTTACAATTGTTCGAAAATAGGAGAATTCAATACATAAGCTTTGAAATTAAATTTGAATTTCTAGGACGTTCGGGTGCGGTGTCACAAGTTCACCCCCCCTTAACAGGAATTTCGTCCCCGAAATTCACGGTGCTACTCAAATAGGAAGGCGTATTGCTCCCTCATCAAAGCTTCCGTTTCCCAAGTCTCCTCTTCAACACGGTCACTTTTCCAAAGGACTTTAACCATTGGAACTTCCTTGCTCCTCAATTTCTTTACCCATCTGTCGGTGATCTTGACCGGTTGTACGGCGTAGTTCAAGTCCTCTCGTATTTCAACCGACGGCTTTTCCAATACATGAGAAGGATCATGTACATACTTTTTCAGCATAGATACATGAAACACATTGTGTATCTTCTCTAACTCTGGAGTCAACTGTAGACGATATGCTACAGTCCCAATTCTCTCCAGAATTCTGAACGGCCCGATGTAGCGTGGATTAAGCTTCCCTCGGCTTTGGAATCGAATGATTCCTTTCCAAGGAAAAACCTTCAGGAATACCTCGTCGCCAACCTTAAACTCTAAGGTTCTCTGTCGCTTATCTGCATAACTCTTCTCTCTATCCTGAGCAGCCTTGAGTCTCTCTCGAATCAACTTCAACTTTGACTTGGTGATCTCAACCAACTCAGTACCCTCGAGTTTGGCCATGCCAACCTCATCCCAGCATAACGGTGTACGACACCTCCTCCCATACAATGATTCGTATGGAGGCATGCCGATACTTGCCTGATAACTGTTGTTATAGGCAAGCTTCACAAGTGCTAAGTGATTGTCCCAACTCCCTCGGAACTCCAATGCACAAGCCCTCAACATATCTTCTAAGATCTGAATAACTCTCTCAAACTGCCCATCCGTCTGTGGATGGAACGCAGTACTGAACTTCAACCTTGTTCCCATAGACTCTTGAAATTTTGGCCAAAAACGTGACGTGAATCGTGGGTCTCTATCGGATACAATGGTCACTGGAACACCATGTAACCTCACGGTCTCATCCGTATACAATTTGGCTAACCTCTCGAGTGGGTAAGTGGTGTTGATAGGTAAAAAGTGTGCACTCTTAGTGAGCCTATCAACAACAACCCAAACTGCATCATAGTTCCTGCTCGTCCTTGGTAAGCCTACCACGAAATCCATAGTCACATGTTCTCACTTCCATTCAGGGATGGAAAGTGGCTGCAATAAGCCCGCTGGATGCTGATGTTCCGCCTTAACTTGCTGACAAGTAAGGCATCGACTGATGTATTCTGCTATCTCCCTCTTCATACCAGACCACCGGTAGCTTTCTTTCAGATCCCTGTACATCTTCGTGCCTCCCGGGTGCATAGCATACGCCGAGGAATGAGCCTCCTCTAGAATGGACTTTCGGAGCTCATCATTCGACGGTACGCACACTCGATCACGGAATAACAAGAGACCATCGTCTCTTTCACGAAAATCCTCTACCGGTCCCGCTAGCATGCGTTCTCGGACCTTCTTGAGCTCATCATCAAGCTCCTGACCCCCCTTGATCTCATCAAGCAAGGTAGGTATCACCTCAAATCTCGCCACCAAGGCGCCATTAGTTGAGACTTCCAATTGGGCTCTCAATGCCCTCAAATTGGTTATCAATGCCCCCGATGAACTCTTCCGACTAAGGGCATCGGCCACAACATTTTCTTTCCCGGATGGTAATCAATCACTAGGTGGTAGTCCTTTATCAATTCCATCCACCGTCGTTGTCTCATGTTTAGCTCTTTCTGAGTAAACACATACTTCAAACTCTTGTGGTCAGTGTATATATGACATGTCTCTCCGTAGAGATAATGCCTCCATATCTTTAGTGCAAAGACCACTACTCCCAATTCTAAGTCATGAGTAGGATAATTCACCTCATGCTTCTTCAACTGTCGTGAAGCGTAGGCAATCACCCTCCCATTCTGCATCAATACACATCTAAGCCCTTGGATGCTCACATCGTTGTAGACATCGTACCCCATACCTTGTTTCGGTAAGGCGAGTACCGGTGCCTCAGTTAACCTTTTCTTCAGTTCTAAGAATCCTTTCTCACATCGGTCATCCCACACGAACTTTGCTCCTTTTCGAGTGAGTTTCGTCAATGGTGATGCCAAAACTGAGAATTTCTCCACGAACTTTCTATAATAGCCCGTTAGTCCAAGGAAACTACGAATCTCCTTCACGTTCTTAGGTCTATCCCATTCTGTGATGTCCTCAATCTTCTTTTTGTCCACATAAATGCCTGATTCAGAAACCACGTGCCCGAGAAAGCCGATCTCCTTAAGCCAAAACTCACACTTAGAGAATTTGGCATAGAGCTGCTTCTCTCCTAGTGTTTCAAGGACCAGAACCAAATGTTTCTCGTGCTCCTCCTCATTTCTTGAGTAAATTAGGATGTCATCTATGAACACGATTACAAACTGATCCAAGTACTTGTGAAAAACTCGGTTCATCAAGTCCATGAATGTCGTTGGGGCGTTAGTTAACCCAAACGACATAACCAAGAACTCAAAGTGGCCATACCTTGTGCGGAAAGCACTCTTCGGTATGTCGCTCTCTTTGATCTTCAATTGGTGATACCCTGACCTCAAGTCAATCTTTGAAAATACCGTTGCCCCCCGTAGCTGGTCAAACAAGTCATCGATCCTAGGTAAAGGGTACCTATTCTTGATGGTGACCTTGTTCAATTGTCAGTAGTCAATGCACATACGTAAAGTCTCATCCTTCTTTTTCACAAAAAGGACTGGTGCTTTCCATGGTGAATAGCTCGGTCTAATGAAACCGTTATCCAATAGCTCTTGCAATTGGTTTTTCAACTCGTTCAATTCCGCAGGCGCCATTCGGTACTGTGGTATAAAGATTGGTTTGGTGTCGGGCTCAACATCGATCACAAATTCAATCTCTCTATCGGGTGGAAGCCCCGGTAGGTCTTTAGGGAAGACATCCGGGTACTTACAAACCACCCTTACATCGTCGAGGTTCGGTTCCTCCTTAGTTTTGTCCACCACGTATGCTAGATATGCGTGGCATCCCTTTCTCATCATACTCCTCGCTCTCACGGCGGATATGATGCAACTATTTGACTTGCCTCGTTCACCCTCGAAGCGTAGGGCCTTCCCATCACTGCCTTCGAGTTCTAGAACCTTTGTGTAGCAATCTACCCTAGCATGATGCTTTTCTAGCCAATCCATCCCTAGGATCGCATCAAAATCAATCATGCTCAGCGGTACGAAATCACACCTCAAGGTTTGGCCACCGACTTCCACCTCACAAGACGGATAATAACAAGTTCTCTCAACGTCATCCCCTAGTGGTGTTGATACCACTAGAGTTTGTATCATTGGTATCGAATGTATCCCTAAGCCTTTGGCGAACGCCTCACTCACGAATGAACGTTGCGCCCCGGTATCGATAAGGATTCGCGCATCCTTCCCATTAATCTTTAGTGTTCCTACATTTATAAGCCATGTAAGATGCCTTCCTACCATCTATATACATTTATAGTGGTTTATTATGCTCATACACATGTTTGGGATCAAGGAGAGGCCTTAACGTCGCAATTCAGTGCGAAAAAATCAACGTCGGGCAGTCTGGGTGCCATGCACGGCGTGCCTAGGAGGCACGCTCGGCGTGCGTGGCTTAAAATACTCCCGGGTAGCTATTTCCACACAGGCACGACGTGCTTGAAGGTTAGGCACGGCGTGCCTGAGACAAAATCAGTCCGATTTGCCCGGAATCGCACGGTTTGGTCCTAAGTCTGTTTGCAATTGACCCCTAGGATTTGTAACCTCATTTTATGGATAAAACAAGGATAAAACATGAGTAATTTAGTGGTTATACCTGCAATGGAATCCGGGTTAGCCTGAGCATCCGCCTCCGTCATCGCATAGACTCTAGCTTGAGTTCTTCCTTGATTCACGGACGGCGCGTTGCTCGCGCTTGCTCCTCCTTGCTCCCTGGACGCTTGTGAGGCCCCAGCTTGATTCCGTGTCCCGGTAGTACCACTACTTGGTCCTGATGCCCTCCTTCTGCCTAGTTGTGGGCAACTCATCTTCATGTTCCCGGTGCTCCCGCATTGGTAGCATCTAAGAGGGTCACGACATTTTCCCGGGTGGTTCCTCTTGCAATTTTTGCAACGAGTCGCTCCCGAGGCTTGTGATTGCCCGTCCGGGCCTTGGCTTCCCCTAGATGGCAGTGGGGGTGCCCGAAAGGATCCTCCTCCTCCATGATTCCCCTTTTTGTTAGGACCTTGAGGTCCATGGCTCTCCCACTTTCTCTTCTTCGCCTCTTCAGCGTTTTTCATCTTTCTTTCTTCCCATTCCTTCTCTCCCTTCAACCTTTGTTCAACTACTTGGCTGAAGGTCATGTTGGGCAATTGTGTTGCCCTCTCACGTATTTCCAAATCTAGGGCATCCCAGAAATGGTTAACCATTCGGTTCTCATCACAAACATACTCCGGTATGAACTCCACGAGCTCCCTGAATTTGTGTTCAAGTTGCCTCACCGTCATTTTGCCACCCTGGGTCAGGAGGGTATACTCTCTCCTCTTAGCGTTCACCTCAAAATCGGAATAGTATTGGGCAAAGAACTCCTGTCGGAAATTCTCCCAAGTCACGGTCCTGCCATACTTGCCCTTGGCCCCATCCCACCATGTGGACGCCATCCCTTCAAGCAATCTCACCGCCACCCTGAGTTTAAACTCGGGGGTGAGCTGCATATCAAGGGCTGCTTCGTTCAGCCTCTTGATCCATTCCGCGGCGACCGAGATGTCACCCGTTCCATTGAAGGGGTTACACCCCAAGTCCCTCGCCTCCTTGAAAAAATTTGAGATCCTTATGATTGGACCTCCATCACTCCGGCCCCCATGTGGTTCAATGTGGGCCCTAGAGTCACCATGGCTTCTCCCTCTTGAAGCCCTACCCGAAGTTTGCCCTCCTCGGCGCCTTCGGCGTTCTCTCCTCTCTTCACGCTCCCGCTGGTATTGCTGGAGCAGCGCCTCAATTCTTTCTAGGGAGCCATTCTCCCCATCTTCATCACTCATATCATCGTCATCCCCTTCGTAAGGGGTCTCAACCGGCTCGGTCTCCGGCTGGTAAGTCGACTCCTCATAGGACCAGTAGGTTTCATCCTCGGTGTCAACATGACTGTCGCTCACAGAGTGCGATCGGCCTCCACGGCTCGCCCCTCTAGACACTCTAGAGGCCCCACGGCTCCCCTGCCCGGTCCCCACCGGTGCACGGCCCGTCGGGTTCCTTCTCGTAACCTTGCCACCACCGTCCATTTCTGAAAGAAAATTTGGAAAGGGTCATTAGACTCGTATCAAATGTCAATTGACGGATAGGTACTTAAGACACTACTTGGCCTGAATTGCCGCCATACCAATTGCTAAGGGTACCATCTTAACAATTAGAGGCCTTGCAGCTCAAGTATCAAAAGTTCTATAAGTACTAAACATTTATGCTCATGGTTTTCAAAATCGTTTGGAAAAGAGAATTTTTGAGTCTTCATTATGAAGTTTATGAACCTGGCTCTGATACCAATTAAAATGTCACGCCCCGGACCTATCCGGACACGTCATCAAGCCGCCGTACAATATGAATAGTCAACCGCAGTCCAACTCATCCATATTATACAAGGCGTCTCGAATATCATTCACACATAAGTCATCCATAAACATACATAATAAGTAATTGAATACGCAGCGGAAATCATAGTTTGGATACAAGTGCCACACAGGGCAAACACGAGCACGCAAGCTCCATAATAAAAAACAATATCCATGAGCATGTTTTAAAATGTTTAAAATCAGAAGGGAGGAAGCACGAACCAAGTCTTCCCCTCCGAGATGATCGCCCGATCAACAAGCACAGGTAGCAAGCTCTAGCCTCAACCTGAAATGGTGGTGGGACGCCCCCCCGAAAGGGGGTCAGTACTCTATACGGCTATAAAGTACTGGTGTGGATGGCATCTAATAGATATACAACAAGTATTTCAAACACAAGACCCTCAAATAGGGTGATAATAGAATTCTAGGTCGTAACCCCAAGTTACCCCTTTTTAAAATATACTAACTTTATATATAAAGTCAAGTAGTCGGCCCATGGCCCAAAGTTCGTTTTCAAAACATAAACCAAACCCCGTGACCCCTAGTCACGACAATACATAGGGTTCAACCCTAACACACATGTTTGCATTTCTCGAGTCCAACTCGACTACATCACCATGCATATCAATCACAAGTCAATTACTCCACCAATATCCAACGTCATGTTTACCCATGCAATTCTAGAGCTCGGCTCAAGTACATCTCCTTACATGGGCTGAATCTAATCCTTATGTCTACCCAATGCAATTCTAGAGCATCGGGCTCAAGTACATCTCCTTGCATTTGCATAGACCCCAATTCCTAAGCACTCGCTATGCCTAGAATTGTAATATCAATAATCTATTTCGGGACATCCTTACGGACTGCCTTATCATGATCTTAGCATCACATTACAACAATTTACTCACTTGAACCACAATCAAGTATATCACTTACAATCAAATCCTTAGATTCAATTTCTTAACAATTACAAACAATCATTAACTAGTATTCCAATACTATTAAGATTGTTCCCATCAATCATATGTTTCATTTGTAAATCCCTACATATTTAGAAATATGTAGCAGCAACTTAGTCACCCAATGTACTACACAAATAATCATTTATGTATTTACACAATTCACACATGAGTAAAAATATCTATTTCACACAATAGTTCATTTAACTCCATTTTTATCAATATGATTTCCAAATCATTTGCAATTTCATTACTTATCCAATATATCAATATTTCATCAATAATCAGTCATTATAATCCATGAAAAAACATGATTTAGGCATTTAGGTAATCTCATGCTTAACCTACAAGTTATAAGAAACTAGATGTCGATCCTCACCTTAAATGAGCTTTAAATCTTTCCTTTTTAATCCAATGTTCAAAGCTTTGGCCAAGGAAGTTTGAGAACTGATTCCTTGCTTAGAATTAATGTTTAGACAGCCTCCTCAAGGTGCTAGTTCAACACTTATCCAATGATACAAAAACAGCCCCTAGAATGGGTGTTTTCCGGCGAAAACGTTTCCTACCCTTTCAAGGGTTATTCTAGGTTAGTATCTAACCTTTCCAAAAAATAAATAACTTTATAACAACACTTTATACACCTCAACCAGTGTACACTAGCTTCTCAATCATTTATACGATTTAGACAATAGAAAGGAATGTTTTGGATTCAAACTTACTTTGAATATAAAATCGTATTCTGCGAGGTCACGTTTTTTTCGGACGATTTGGAAGCCTTACACTGCTCCGTTTTCTTCAAACCGAACGCCTGTGGATTCCTCTTTTCGAGAGGTTTCAGTGGGCACCTCACATGCCTCTTTTGGATGAGCATAACTCGAGATATGAGTCGCACAAGAAGGCCAGCGCACTGGAAGTTCTCCCTGCGGCCAGAATCTTCTCCCTCTCTTGCTTTCTTTCTCTTGTGCGGCTCTTCTCTTCCCCTTATCTCTGGAGTTCGAATGAGGGGTGAGGGAAAGATATCTGGATGCTCTCAAAACGTTATCTAAATGTGTGGCTCCAAAAAATAAAAGGTTGGGTGTTTGATTACAATCAAACATGGGATGATCCTCCTCTTTTATTTCTCTTATGTATTGTTTGGGCTCTCAACTCAATAGGTCTGCCCCATTTATGTGTTCTAACTTATCCTACCTGTTTTGCAGGTGCTAGGAAGGTGTGGGGTGTACTCTCATATCCCCTAATTAATTTGGGAGCAAAATATCTACCAATACATCCAAGAGTGGAAAGATGAGTCCTATCATTTTTGTCCTTTGTCATAAGATGTACTTTTGTACTCTCCCCAATTTATTCAGATCAAGTCAACCTCCTACTTCATATTATTGGTCTCTAATATGTGTAGGATGGTCCGAATAATTTATTTGATGTACAATTACAAAAGAAAACCCTACTCCCATTATTTAACCTAATAATGTCAAAGATGGGACCATAGGCATTTGTATTCTTCTCCAATCATTCCATCATTCGTTTATTATGTTAATATGTGTGTGTGTGTGTGTGTGTGTGTGTATAGGCTACCAACCGTGTGGGTCACCCTCCAATGGGTCTAGGATGCCATTCTAGAATAATTACTATTTTTAGCAGGTTAGACCCAAAATAACATTTGGGCTGCCCGACTGCTCTTACATTGTACCGATGGGTTGTATATCTTTATTTAAGGATTTTGGGCCCCAATATCAATGATATGGCCCAATTAATTATTTAGAAGCCCGTTACCATTGTATGAGTCCAAATAGTAATATGATAAATCATATGTTCCATAAAACTTTAATCGTTTTACAATTGTTCGAAAATAGGAGAATTCAATACATAAGTTTTGAAATTAAATTTGAATTTCTAGGACGTTCGGGTGCGGTGTCACAATGATGACCATGATCAGTACTTGTGTGTGATGTGTATGTTGATGTTGTAGTTATTCATAAGGTCTGAGTGTGCTATTCTTTTCCCAAAATGATGAAATCATTATGAGCATTGCTAGATCACTATGCTTCTACTATTACAAAATGTCTGACTATGCTTGTTAGTATGTTAGTACTAATTCTAAATGTCTGTCTGTCTGTCCTGCAAAATTAAGGTCTGTACAAAAAGCAAAAAAAATAAGGTCTATTATGTCTGAGCATTACTTCATCACTGAAGATGATGATCACACTACAAGAAATTAGGTGTTTTACCCACACATAAAATAACCACACATATCAAGTGTGAGTGATTAGCCACACATAATTTGATAATGTGTGGGGAATTGATAACGTGTTATGAGCTCAATTAGCTACAAAATTTATGCGTGGCTAAATATTTTCCGTGACAACAAAAAATGGAGGGAAATTTTCGGTCTAATTTTCATCTTAGCGGTAGGCACTTATTAATCGGAAGGCCGGCGTGGAATTTTGAGGTGTGAAATTACCTACACATAAATAACATAGGTTAAATATGTGTGGCTAAAATGGAGAATGATTTGGAAATTATAAAAAAAAAACACGGCTGGTGTAGTTATCTCACCCTAACTCCTAACCCTATCACTTCACCTTCTCCTTCAGTTCTGTATACAATCAGCTCCTGCAATCTCCGTTCGCTTCTTCGCTGCGGATATCTCTTCTTGGCTACGGAAGACGAAGGTATATACTATTGCGATTTTTATCTCTATTTATTTGACTATGACTCTGACTTCACCTCTTTATCCGCTTTCTTTCCTACGCCTCTGTTCCTTCCTTCTTCTTCATTCTACAATCAGCTTTTGTTGTTGCTGGCCGTAACAAAGCTTTTGTTTTCTAATCAGCGTATTGTAGAACTAGACTGCTGTAATCTTCTCTTCTTGGCTACAGAAGACAGGTTTCTTGCGATTTTAATCTCTATATTTAACTACTTGAAAACCCTAATTGGTATAGTTAGGTCTTACTTATGTATCTATTTTAAGATTTAATTCCATGATTTATGCTCTATTAGTTAGAATGTATGCAGTAGCTAGTTAATACTCAGCCGTAGGATTTTTTATACTTAAGTTCTTTTTACCAATGTTGATTACTCAATTGATTTTAAATTTTGTTTTTAATTGACGGGCAGCAAATTAGTCATGTTTCAGAAAGCTTCACATTTTTTATACTTTTTTTCTTATATCTAATTGTAAATGAAACTTTTGTTTGAAAGAGTTGAGTGAAATTTGAATGCTAAAGTTTTAGAGAACCACCAAACTGAAAAGTGTTTACATTTGTCTTTTTAGTTTAAAGGCTTCGTAGACACCAAACCAGATTTGAGCTGCTATAAAAAGAATTTCATTGTTTTATATTTAAAGGCCAAAACTCGCTGCAATTTAGATGATAAGCTGATCCACTTTTTTTCAATTTTTAATTGTTCATAGCAGAAAGAAAATTTAAGTCCTAAGTATTAGTATATCCAGTAGACAATTAGATTTGAGTATTATGGTCATGTTTCGTACTTATGACATTCTTATTTCATAATTACATTTAATTAAAGATATAAGAACATCTATTGGCTAAACCTGAGCTAAAGTATACAACAACATCTGCCGATTTCTGATCGAACTTAGGAATCTTCTGTAATTGGCCGAAGGAAGACGAATCAGAGAAGAAGGTTTTTGAGATCCTCTCTTCTTGGTGACGAAGTAGAGGTAAATTTATTGTGACTTTACTCGTTATTTATTTGATTGCTTAAATTTGTCTGGTGTATTTAATTTGAGGCGTTTGAGCAATATTGTCTGCTTGTAAAATATCTCGTATTCTTGACAAGATTGTGTAAGCCAAGCTCTCAATCACTCTCGAATGGATTTTCACCACTCAGGGACGGAATCAGGGGGTCGAGCCCATGCCGGCGCCCCCTTCGTTGGAAATTTAAGGGTAAATATATGTAGTATTATTGTCTTTCCCCGGACCTCCGTTGTTCTCTGAGATGTGTTTGGACGGAAACATGTCTGTTGTGGCGCTCAATGGATGTTGTTGGTGCTACTGGGTGAAAAACTTTTTTTTGTTTTTCAGTTTTATTTTGAACAGCGTAGTTTGATTAAATGATAAAATAATAAAAGCTCTAAGTTAAAATTACATCAGTAGTTCAATACATGTCTAAATCGGGTTTGGCATTTCAAAATTGAAATCATATGAGAAGGTTGAGAAGAGCAGTGAAATATTGCTTCCATTGTAGGCGTTGAGCATGGACTTTTGTGTCTTCGGCGGTGCTTGTTCTCAGCTTTGCCATAAGTTTGTTGTAACTATTGAGAATTTGAGATCATGGGTGTGAGTGCACACCATTTGAGGCTTATCTTGGTAGTTCACTTATTTGAGTTTATTTTTTGAATACAAGCCGATTATGTGATTTATTTATTCAGTGATTTACTTGTTTAGTAATTACACTTGTTTTCCTAATGATTTTTTACTACTTTCTTAATAAGTTAATAGAAGCCGATTACTTGTTTAGTTTACACTTTGTAGTTGACTTCTTTACAAAATAATTTAATTAAGAATGACTTAATATTTCTAAAGAAACTTATTTGTGTAGTAGTATGTTATCTGTTACTTTGCAGAGGCTTTCAATAACGAAATTGGATATATCTTGCGTAAGTATTGTGACTTAAAATATAATGATTGGAGGTCCGTGCCAGAAGATGTTAGGGCACCATTGCGTCATAAACTTCAAGTAAGTGGTCAGCATAACCTTTCTTTGGTGAAAATAGGATAAAAAAGAAAATTTCTTGATAGTTCGGTACATTTATAGTGGCTTGCTTTGTTGTTTCTCATTGATTTTTATGACTGAATTTGTTAAACTAAAGTGAAAAAAAGTAGTGATATACTTTGATTATTTGCAGACACTGTTTGATGTTGATGTGAGAGATGAGAATATCAGAAAAGCTAAGACAAATGCAAGGAGCTTGGCATGGACACAGGCAGGGGCGGATCCAGAAAGTTACAATGGGGTGGGCTGGAGAAAAAATTGAAATACAAATACCTAATATTCCTAATAATAAGTCAAGTTGTCAACCATTTAAATATCCATCAAAACATCATTTAAGTTGTGTCCTACGCGACTTCAAAGTATAATATTCATCAATAATAGAATCTACATCTATTTATTGGCAAAATCTCGTTCAATGTAGATCATCAATGAAAATTCAAGAAAATCATCTCTCATTTTGTTACGGAGTGTTGTCTTCATATGCTTCATTGCTGAAAATGCTCTTTTCATAGTAGCGGTAGAAACAGGTAGGGTCAAAACAAGACAAATTAATCTACATAAAACTACTAAGTTTTAATAACTAAATCATTTTCTACTATTCAATTCTATCTTTAATCATATATATTTATTATAATAAATTAAACATTATTTATTTATGTACTGAAAAATTCAATTAATAATCAAAATGATTCCCTAACCCTAAAACTTTAAAATGCTAAAAATAATAATATATTAATATTATACACAAATAATACGTTATAACCGTATAACACATTGACACATTCATGAAATTACAATCTAACACCAAATCAATTAAAACAATAAATTAAAAATCTAAAAAAGAAATTGAATTTTGAGTTTACCTGGACTTTTGGAGCCTGGAGGGAGGCATTCAGGCAGACGCGCAGACGCACAGTCGCCGCGCAGAGGCAGAATGCCGGAATTGGTGGACAACGTCGGCGGCGCGGCTAGAGACTGGAGTCGTTCACTAGTCACTTCTTCGTCGCAGATTCAAGCTCCGTCTGCAGTTTGCTCCAGTGCTCCCTCATCGTTCTTTCTTCTTCTCGCTAGACGCTATTGTTCTTACGCGAAGCTCCAATCGCTTAAGGCTTTAGCGCAAGTCAGAACTCAGAAGGTCGAGAAGCTGGGCAATGGGTTGGGCTGGGAAATAATTTTGGGATGGGCTAGAATTTAACATATACTTGTATTAACTAAAAAAAATTATTTTGGGTTGGGCTGAAGCCCACCCCTGCCCTAACTACCATCCGCCCATGGACACAGGCACACATTATGCACAAACTTTTAAAAAGTTGGAGGTCCTAGTAATCTAACAAGTACAAAGAAGGACCCTTATGAAGGAGTTAGCAAACAAGATTGGGAATATCTGTGTGAATCTTGGAGCTACCCTTCATATCTGGTAATATGCTTCTACCATCTTATATATACATGTCATGATTACCTAATCCTTGATGAATCTAGACAAAATCTAACCCTATGTATTGTAATGAATAAATTCAGTTTTACTCACAGATTAGTCCCAAAACAGAATGTTAATCTAATATTTTATTTTTATATTACTTTTATTTTTATTATGTTTATTTTATAGAATAAAGCTCTGAAAATTGCTGATCTTGCAAAAAGAGAAAATGGAATTCTGGAAATGGTTATAAAAGCACAGCATGTCATCATATCAGTCGTAGAGTTGAGTTGGATGCTGTTGTTGGAGATATCGAGACGTGGCGTCTCCGTCATTGGCATTCAGAACGTGGATGGGTATCCCCCGAAGCAGAATCTAAATATGTAAGTATATTTTACTTCAAGTATAGTGCTTTGATATGCTATTTCAAATAGGAAAAATTGTGAAATAGTCCTTGTAGTATAGTCTATTCGGCAATTATATCATCGCACAAAAAATACCCAATAAAATAGGACAGTAACTATAAAAAATACTCAATATATATGGTTTGAAGGTTACCCTCAGTTGTCAAAAGTTTGGAACCTATGTGGTTATGTTTCTCCATTCACTTGCTATGTTGGCACTTACTTGACATCCATTTTTTCATTTTATTTTATTTTATTTTATTTTTCTTCAACTAACCCAGCCATCAACTTGTCCATCTATTTACTTGAAAGAAGGCTGGAAAAACAGAGTTAAAAGAAAATAGAAAAAGCAAAAGAATGATACAGGATAGAAAAGTAATAAAATTAAAAAGCCATATAGATCACATGTATGAAATGATTACCAGTAACCTAAGATTAATAAGCTATCTAATGAAGTTTTTTAAGTACAGGGATTTGATTGCTGAATTGGAAATATTATAGCAGCTTATATTGGACAATTTTCCTCTTTCAAATATGATACTTGTAGATGCATGTCAAAAAATTCATGTTCATAAGTTCTTTAACTAATATGTAATTGACAATGTAACAGGAAGAAATGGTGCAATTGGGAAGAGATAACTCACCCGAGGAGCTGACTCATAAACAAATATTAGAGAAGGTGCTTGGACGGGAATCAGTTCGTTTGTTTGGTTGGGGAAGGTCTTCTTCTGAAAATAAGAAACGCAAAGATGATTCAAATGTTCCTATATATACTGAACTGTTGAATCATGTTGGAGAACTCCAAAGTACGGTTGGAATGATGCAAAAATTGTTAATTGAAAAGAATATCCTTCCTCCCGGGGCAAATATTGCATCTGATCATTGTTCCAGAGCTCTCAATGGTGGCTCTACTTCTATTGGGAGAGATCAACAATTTCATGGCTATGAAGACTCCATTTCCGAATTTGACGAGTAGAAATTGCTTTCACATATGACCTAATAGGCTAATATGCATATTTTATTTTAGTACTAGTTGAACGATAATATTTTGACGTTACAAGTTTTTATTGTCACTGTCAGGTTTTCACCTCTCCAGCTCAGACCACGCTCATACAGCACACACACCAAAGCACCACCGGAAGGGACAAGAACACTCAGACCAGCCCAGCCATCTCAACGCACGCCAAAGGTCAGAAAAGGGGAGGCACAAAGAGAATACCACAGAGGGACCGGAATGGAGAAGAGACGGAAGTCTCTCTCTCTCTCAATCTCTCTTAACCTCACTCTCTCTCTCTAACCGAAGACCTCTACGTCAACCAAAGGCGTAGAGGAGTTTAAGTACCCGGGCAATAGGGGAAGCTCTAAAAGAGGGTTCCAGAAGAAGGGCTAGCGGCAGAACAACATGGGCCAGGGCAGAGGTAAGCAAACAAGCCCAATACAAGAGGAGAGGGCTGCCTTGGCCCGTGGGGCCAATACCTCCACACTCTCCACCTTATTGGCCATCATTGGTGGTGCATGGTATCACAAAGTAACATGAGCACGTGGTTCATCATCGCTAGGTCACCAGTGATATCCTAAAGACATAACTGGCAAACAAATTGGAGATACACAAAATACTCCCAAAAGGAAATTGGAGAAGTACCAAAGGTACTCTCCCTAACCGTGAGAGTAGATTCTCTCAAGCACTACGCTTTCCAGAATCTACCCTCCAACATACCCAAAACCTGCAAACAGAGTTAACCGCAGTCCAAATTCAAAATTCGTTTACAAGACAAAAGTTTTTCAGCAGATAGACACTTCGTCCCCATATCTGCAGGGTTGAACTCTGAGGGTATCTTGCACAGCTTCACTTTACCTGCATCTAAAACATCACAAATAAAATGGAACCTCACATCAATGTGTTTGGTCCTGTCATGAAAAACAGGGTTTTTGCAAACTGGATAGCAGACTGGCTATCAGAAAACACAGCAACATCCTGTTTGAGAAAACCTATTTCAGCAACAAGACAACTTAACTAGATGGCTTCCTTGAAAGCTTCTGTAGCTGCAACATACTCAGCTTCAGTGGTTGATAAGGCAACAATTGGTTGTAACTGAGATTTCCAACTAATACACGACCCACACAAAGTGAACACATAGGAAGTGGTAGATTTCCTATTGTCTTTATCATTAGCATAGTTAGAGTCAACATAACCACTCAGTTTCACACCTTCAGTACACTTAGTAAAAATCAAACCATGATTAGCAGAAAATTTCAAGTATCTCAAAAGCCATTTCAAAGCATTCCAATGTGACATACCAGGATTAGACATAAACCTACTCAAACAACTCACATCATAGGCAATATCAGGTCTAGAACTAACCATCAGATACATCACAGAACCTATAGCATTGGAGTAAGGAACAGACTTCATAAGCTCAATTTCAGAATCAGTCTTAGGAGACTGATTTTTACTTAGCACAAAATGAGAGGCAAGAGGAACATGCACAGGTGCAGCAGAAGACATTAAACTTACTCAAAACTTTCTCAACATACGAAATCTGATTTAGAACAAGAGTATGCTTACTCCTGTCCCTCATAATGTTAATCCCAAGTATCCTCTTGGCATCACCAAGATCTTTCATCGCAAAGTTCTCACAAAGACATTTTTGAACAGACATAATAGATTTAAGACAAGGGCTAATAATCAACATGTCATCCACATAGATTAACAAGAACACAGGTACAGAATTAGTATTCTTGAAATAAAGACAATGATCACAGGCAGATTTCACAAATTTCATAGACTGCATACACCTGTCAAACCTAATATTCCACTGCCTAGGGGATTGCTTCAGACCATACAAGGCATTCTTAAGCAGACAGACATGGTCACTCCTCTTGGGATCCACAAAGCCCTCAGGTTGAGTCATGTAAATTTTCTTATCCAATTCACCATGCAGAAATGCAGTGGTGACATCCATTTGTTTCATCTCCCAGTCATGGTGAGCAACCAATGCCAACATGATTCTAACAGTAGTAAACTTAACTACAGGAGCAAAGATTTCGGCATAATCTACACCCTCTTTTTTAGTAAACCCCTTGGCAACTAACCTGGCCTTATACCTAATGTTATTACCCGGTTCTTCCTTGACCTTAAACAGCCATTTGCACTCAACCACTGAGCTGGCATTAGGTCTAGGAACAAGGGTCCAAGTCTGGTTCACTCTTAGAGAGTCCATCTCACTTTTCATGACCTGAAGCCATCTCTGAGACTCTCTGGACCTTATAACTTCACTATAGGTCTTAGGTTCATTTAGGTCTAGGGTCTCAAACACAGTAAAAGCAAAATCAGATATATCACACGCAGTAAAAGCATAATCAAACAAAGTATCAGATTTTCTCTTAATGGTTCTTCTACCCCTATCCCTAACAAGTTGGTAGTCATGCAAATCAACATTATCATTCTCAGCAGAATCATCAAACACATTGGTCTCACCAGACAGAGAATCATTTTGCACATGGTTATCTTGAGTGTTGAACTCCACCTCACCGGAGGTAGCAGTATCAGAAGAAGTATTAACATGCACATCAGAAGGGATGACAGGAACAACAGGAGGAGTGTCATACATAACAACAGGAATAATAGGTACAGAAGGAGTCTGAGCCTCCACCTCAACAGGTGTCCTCTCAGGCTCATGCTCAGAAACAGGTTTAAGCAAGCAAGGGAAATCAAATTCATTAAAAATTACATCCCTACTTATAACCACCTTAAAACCAGGCACACTTCTATCCCACAACCTATATCCCTTTACCCCATCAAGATAACCCAAGAACACACACTTTTTGGATCTAGGATCTAACTTATCAGTTTTCTGATGAACATAGGCAGCACACCCAAAGACCCTAAGGTTTGTTAGGTCAAGAGGCCCACCAGTAAACTTAACTTCAGGGCATTGACCCCCTATGGGAACAGAGGGAGATCTATTAATCAGATAGGTGGCAGTGGTGACTGCTTCACCCCAAAACTTCTTAGGTAAACCTGAGGTAGACAACATACTCCTAACCCTGTCAAGAAGGGTTCTATTCATCCTTTCAGCCACCCCATTCTGTTGGGGGGGGTGTAGGGCACAGTCTTATGTCTCCTAATGCCTGAAGTGGCACACAGTTGGTCAAGCTCTTGGTTACAGAACTCTAGGCCATTATCAGTCCTAAGGGTCTTAACATTCTGTCCAGTGTGATTTTCTACAAGTAACTTCCAGGCTTTAAACTTCTCACAAACATCAGACTTATGTTCTAGAAGATAAACCCACACTTTCCTAGAGAAATCATCAATTAAGGACAAGAAATACCGTTTCCCCATGTGTGGGAACACTAGCAGGACCCCAAACATCAGCATGCACATATTCAAGCACATAGGAGCATTTAGTCATATTAGGGTAAGAGGATAGAGGGAACTGGACTCTATGTTGTTTACCAAGCACACATGATTCACAGAAAGTCAAAGAGTTCACAGAGTCTTTACCAAGGTAACCATGTTTGTGCATGATCCCTAAACCTTTATTACTCATATGCCCTAGTCTATTATGCCACAACAAGGTTTTATCAATATGCACAACATTCACAGCATTCACAGAGTCAATATAAGGTTTAGCATGACACACATAAAGGTTGTTCACCTTTTCAGTTTTAAACAACACCAGAGAATTTTTCAAAATTTTCATACTCCCATTCCCCCACTTTCCCTCTAGACCACTACCCTCCAAGGCAGCAACAGATAGTAAGTTATGACACAAATCAGGGACATGCCTCACATTCTTAAGAGTAAACACAGAGCCACAAGAAAACTTGAGACATATGTCACCAACACCCAAAACATTGCATCTCTTATTATCAGCCAAGGAAACATAACCCATATCACAATTCTCATACTTAGAAAACAAATCCCTAAAAGGAGTCATATGATAGGTACAACCAGAATCAATTAGCCATTCATGCTCAGTCAAGGTATTACGAACAGAATTAACATGGTCACACACCATGAGAACCTCACCAATGTCATCTCTCTCTATAGCTACACTAGCCCGCTCAGGTTTCTTAGGATGGGGACAGTCCTTTATAAAGTGGCTAGAATTGCCACAGTTGTAGCACACACGCTTTCTAGACTTATTCCTCTTCTTACCATTCGGGTTACTATTTTTAGCTTGGGCATCCTGTTTCTGATTCTTAGACCTACTCTTAGATCTACCCCTCACAAACATAGCCTCACCAGAATCCTTGGGTTGACCAGAGATACTCCTATTATGTTTAAGGTCAAGTTCCTTACTCTTAAGACCATTCACAACAATATCAAGAGTGACATCATCTCTACCATATTTAATAGCAGATTTAACATCATTATATGAATCAGGAATAGCATTAAGCAACACAACAGCAGTATAATCATCAATATGTTTATCACCAGATTGTTTAATGTTCTGGATCAATTTATTAAAAATATCCAAGTTTTCATCAATGTCTTTGGTTAGGTCTAGCCTAAACCGAAAGAATTTTTCAAGCAAAAACAGTTTACCAGGCAGAGAAGTATCAGTATAAAGATCATCTAACTTATCCCACAACTTTTTAGCCGAATCCAAAATACCAACCTTTCTAAGCACAGAGTCAGATAGGTTAAGATATATAGTAGAGCAGGCAGTTTCATTCATTTCAGCTATCTTAGCACTATCATCAGAATCCAAATAAAGTTCACTTACAGCTCTGAAAACCTTTTGCTGGATTAAAACACATTTGATCTTTTGTTTCCAAATGTCAAAATCGGTTTTTCCATTAAAAGGTAACATACCATACATATTGGCAGACATGATAAGGAACACAAAAAGGATAACACTGAGAAATCAGTGGCAGAAGACAAGGCAAATGAAAGATAGCAAACAGAGAGACAGAGAACCAAGGAGCTAGGGTTCACCAGTGTACCCGGCTGCGGGCTGACAGGCCACACAGATCCGAGGGCCACTTGAGTGACTGGCAGGGAACCTGTCAGTCCTAACCTCAGGTGCCGAGTCACAGAGGCAAAAAACCCAGTTCACCAGGATACCAAGAAGGCACAAAAAGAAGTAAAGTAGAGATAAACACGTAAAGGAGACAGAAAAGCAGAATACCAGATCAAACAACTCAATCTCGCAAACACAAAACACTCATGCAGACCACTTCACACACGAAGGTAAAGAGAACGCACCTGGGGAATGTCAGTTACAAACTGACAGCCAGACCAACACGGTCAGCAGCAAGAGCAAAGCGGGGAAAGGGGATGAATCAAGTAAAACACCAAAAATCACATAAAACCGGAGGCACCCGGCAACCTAGGGTGTTTATCGCCAATTTACCTGAGCGAGAACCCGAGGATGGGCTTCTCGACTTACCACTTAGATGGAGATCTGCGGCGGATGGCGGCGGAGGAGCTCCCGGGCTGTAGGCGAGGACGACAGGAGTTCCGGCTCTGATACCACTGTCAGGTTTTCACCTCTCCAGCTCAGACCACGCTCATACAGCACACACACCAAAGCACCACCGGAAGGGACAAGAACACTCAGACCAGCCCAGCCATCTCAACGCACGCCAAAGGTCAGAAAAGGGGAGGCACAGAGAGAATACCACAGAAGGACCGGAATGGAGAAGAGACGGAAGTCTCTCTCTCTCTCAATCTCTCTTAACCTCACTCTCTCTCTCTAACCGAAGACCTCTACGTCAACCAAAGGCGTAGAGGAGTTTAAGTACCCGGGCAATAGGGGAAGCCCTAAAAGAGGGTTCCAGAAGAAGGGCTAGCGGCAGAACAACATGGGCCAGAGCAGAGGTAAGCAAACAGGCCCAATACAAGAGGAGAGGGCTGCCTTGGCCCGTGGGGCCAATACCTCCACAGTCACTTTTGGTATTGCAGTACTTGAAAAATGGATGTTGAATGATGTTTTATTATGGCTTTCACAATTTTAGATATCTCTAGATCTCTGATATTAATGTAGTTAATTTTCAATCTAAATTTTGTTTTATACATGGTTTGTAATGACTACAATTTAGATAAATATTATGCAATACGTAAATGTAGTTTTATCTACACACACAAAAATTTCGCCCACACATATAGGA